CAATAAAGCTATACAGAAATGGTTCATAATCCTAGTTTATGCACATAACATATTGACAAAAGTATAAATATAGTGGTGGTCCTCACAGAACACAACACAATAACACAAATTATTCAAAAAACTATACTAGAAATGATCCCCACAGAACAAAACACGAGTACAAAATATATTCTATTCATATATAATGCACACGTCAAACCCTAGATATGCTTTACTGTCATTCTACTCCACACACACAAAACACTCAACCCAAACAAGAAATATTGTTATACACTATCAATTTCATCCAATTTTAACTGTTAACAATGTATTTCTTACTTAGTTGTAGACCCATTTCAGTCGTAGATGATGAATTACGCATTGTATGATACGAATTAGCCATACGCAGAAGAGGATGTCCAGACGCAGTAGACGAAGTCTAGTCGAAGATGATGTCCAGATGCAATTGACGGATTCGTTGCTTTCGTATGAGAAGGACGAGGTTCTAATTGTTCTTCGCAGTGCAGTGTAGAGTATAATTTGGTAAAATTTGATTTAGGATATTAGGATAGTTGACCAAGTAGAATGCCTAGCTACCGGATGAAATCCCCCCCCCCCCCCCCCCTCCCCCCCCCTTCTTTTATCCCTTGCAATGACCGTTTTGCCCTCGTCAAAAAAAAATTCGAACGCAATTACGTTTTTCCGGTGAAAATTGGCCGGCAGGACCAAATGTGTTAACAATTGCATAGTTACATAATTAAATTGAGAGTTTTGAAAGTCAAGTACTCAAATTAACCGCACCCCAATAACCAAATGACCAAAAGTGCAATTAATTCTTTATTCTATATACTGAGAATTGATTTAGAACAATCTGATAACACGTTTTGAAATGAAACGTATCCTAGTGTGAATCATTGTATTGTTCTTATCGTAAAATTACACTGTCTATAACTCTTTACAATAAAGTAGAGAGAATACAAAAATACAGAGAATACAATATATATATATATATATATATATATATATATATATATATATATATATATATTACTTTGGTGTTGGTAGATTATTATATATCATTGAATTAGTACTAAATACTATAAATATTTTAAAAATGGTTAATATGTATCAATGATTAAATATTTACTTTAAAATTAAAGCAATCATCTTTAAAACAAACCATATCAGCAACTATTATTATATGTGTCAACAAGGAATTTTTTTTAATGCCTCAATGCAAAATAGAAAATGCAGGAATATTTTGGTAATAACAATAAGACTAAATAATAGTAGCAATTGTACTCAGAAAATAATAATAGTAATTCTAAATTTGTACCATCATATGGTGGTATGAGAGTTAAAAATATGGAATTTTTCCATTAAAATGATAGAATTTTAATATTCTTTCTCATTAATATTTGGCGTCTCAATGCCTCAATTTTTTGAAATTTAATTAGTAGCCCTGGTATCAGATGATTTTCTCCATTTTTACACATAATCAATGAAAATAAAAAGTCATTTTTCTTTATGTTATGCACTTCATTTGTACATTTCATACTTTTTTCTTCTTATTAAGTATTTCTTTGTATTAATTTATAAAAAAGAGATTGTATAACCTCACCAAATACATGGTAAAAATTTATGTTTCTTCCTATTATGTTTTTCTTTGTATTAATTTATTTTTAAAATATTACTTCTCCCCAACATTATATATCGTTATGAGACATTTGGTGTCTTTTAGGGAAGATCCGTTTTTTTCAAGTATCCGTTTTTTCTCTTTAACGTTAAGCCCTCACGCTCTTTCTCTCTTTACATAATTATGATGCTTTTGCCTTTTCAGTATGAACTTCTTTGATAAATTCGGGTAGGATTTTAGTTTTTCAGATTCATTTCAGTCTCACAAAATTTCTACAAGGTTTCCCAATGTCTTATTTCATCAATGGTGCCGACATATATTCAACATATGAATCAGAAGCATCAAGGTATATCTCTCTCTCTCCCTCTCTTTCTCTCTTGATGATGAGTTTTCATTTCAATTACAAAAAATAACTTTCTTAAAAATATTTATGATAGATCTATGCAAAAGATGGTTTTTATAAACTCTGTTGTTGAACTTGTGGTAGTAGGTCGGATCGTTCTGATTTTGACAATAATTCATTAACTAGATGTTCAACAAATTCATGTATATTAGATAATATAGTGTGCTCAATTTTTTCATAGATCTAAGGAGTTTGACATTGTGATCTATCTCTTTTATGAAGTTGTGTACTTATTTTGTTTGAACACTAAATATTTAATAAATCTACTTGTATTCGATATTGAAATGGGTAGATCATATATAATTAGATTAGACAAAATCTAGTTGAAAAGTTCATGAATAGAAAAATTTTACAAAACAAAAGAGAAATTTTCTTGCAATCCTGGTATTAGAGTTTTCTACCAACATTACCATTACTTTTTTTTTTTTTTAACGTAAAGATTAGCGTTTTTTTTTTCCTTGAAAAAATTTCTTCTCTCTTTTGTTTTTCATTAATTTATTTCTTTATTTCATTTTCTTATCTAAAAACATAATAAGTGTCAATACAAGTTATGTCCTTGATTTTTGTCCCTTTTTTATATGCTAAAAAATATATACATCTTGCTTTAATTGTTGTACATTTGATTTGTATTGGACAAAATTACCCTTACACCGTTATAACACCGTTAGTATTTAATATGTCCACCAATCTTACCATACACCTACATCTATCATATCTTTTTCTTATTTTTAGTTATCATTTTATTAAAATTATCATATAACAATTAATTTAATTATAAATTATATTTTAATTAAATATTTATATGAATATTAAATTTTAATTATAAATAATATGTATATATATTATTTGTGTATACATATCAATATATCATATATGTGGATATTAGCTTAGTATTATTTGTAAATTATTATTATTATTATTATTATTATTATAATATATATATATATATATATATATATATATATATATATATTGTTTTGATCACTATATTCAAATATATGATAATTCAAAAGTATCATAACTATAAGGAAATGTGAAATATAATTTTAACTAATTTTTAAAATTTTGTTACTTAACAATATTTTAATATTGGGCATAAGTTTTCGCGCATCGCGCGTACAAAATGCTAGTATATACAATAAGTAGAAAGAATTTCAACATTTTTTCTACCAAAAATTGCACATATTCAGCTTCAAATTTCCATTCATTCAAGTGGATATATAGTAACATTAAAATTTTGTTGCCCAAAAGTTTTTTCAATATTTTATTTAAAATTTTGACCCAATCATCCAATGAAAGAAAATTTCCATTATTCCACATTAAAGTTTTTAAAATTTAGGCATACTACAACAACAATGATTAATAGTTTATATAAAATTTTCTCAATCCATCTCAAAAGTGATAGAATATGTGCTTGGTATTTCATTGTTTCGGTAACTTTATATCTCTATGTGATATAATTCAATTAAAATAATAGCTAAAATTAGATATTTATGACTTTTGGTCTAATCTAATCACATGGTAGAAAGTTTAATTTTGACCTATTGTTCCTATATTATCTGACATAGGTGTTGTTTTACTTATCTATCATTTGCGTTTTGCTCTTTAAAAAAATTTATCAAAGCTGACTTATAATTAGGTAGTATAAATATATGAACAACTGTAACTTATAAACATATCAAATAAAGAATTATAGTGTTACTAAACGTATGTCTATATTACTTAAAAAAGATAATATATAAATAATTTGCATTTAAATTATCTTCATGTTTAGAAAATACATATACACATATGCTTGTATAATAGATAGTCATAGCTATTTTTATATAAAAAAATTTAAAATAAGAATAAAGTGATTTTCAAAAGAAATTATTTTGAAACATTTGTACAATATTACCAGGGTTGTGCCTAACTCTGCATCTGAAAGCCCACTCCCAAAAATTTCAGAGGTTTGTTTAGTTTTCATAACAAAACTTTTTTATTTATTTTTATATTTTAAAATCACGTGTTTTAAATTCTTTAAATTCTTAATAATATGATATATATATGTAGGGGAGACTGACTGACACAGTCCCTATACAACCATTAGCATTCGGGCACCCCACTACAATGATATGGTCTATTCCATCTCCAATGAATTCGTTGAACTCTTTTAACGAATATTCATATCATATTACTGGAAGCACAAGCCAACCAGTGATGGTATATATTTCCCCATTTCATTATAATTTGTTCTTAATTTTATGAAATTATTTCTAATGGTTTTATTTTAATTTTAAAATTTTAAGGCTCAAATTGAAAATGCACATTCAACAATTCCACTGACAACCAATCCACCGAACCTGTCTCCTATCGTATGGCTTTTAAACAATGTTCTTTCGACTCTGTTTATAAATATTTACGTTATGTATAGAAAATAGATTTTTCTATTATTGTTAGAATATATGATGTAGTAAATTTTGAATGATAAATATTTATACTAACTTTTAAATTATGTTTATTGATTCTCTTATAAAGGAGTTTAGTTCCAAACATTATTCTGGTATAAGTACATCCCAAGGGAAAAGATCAAACCACACTAACCAGGTAACTTTATTAGTCAATACATATATAATAAGTTGAAGTTTTATAGTAGTTTTTATTAGAATGTTTTAAAAGAATAGAAATTATTTTTTGCATAGGTTACTTTTAATCTGAAATATATTTTTAAAAAAATTCCCCAAAAATTTATATTTTATTATATTTCCAAAATTTAAAAAAAAAAAAAAAAAAAAAAACCAGGTTGAAGTTGTTGCTAATAAGAGCAGGCAAGAAGGAAGTCTGCAGTCAATAATTTATCAGGGATTATCCACCAACACTCCAAATAACAATTTACCAGAGATTTCTAGTGCTTCAATGTACGTACAACATTTCTTTATATGCTTGATTAATTGTTTTTTTTTTTTTTTATCCTCATTTCCTAATTATTATAAGTTTGTGTAGGCCCATTATGAATGGATTGTATGATCCTCAGTACCAAGAATTTGGCTTACCAGTTGATCCTCATCTTCGATGCTTGATTTTAAATCCAAATTTCATGCATGGTAACGTAAACCAATATTTTTATATGTACATTTTAACGTTTATATATGTTTATAAATAGTTGACTCCGTTTTATTTATGTCTTTAAGTTGTTTACTTATATGCAATTGTTTATGAAATTGCAGGCCAAGTTAATCCCCGGTTTTCCAGGGATAATTATTGATCATCACCAGACATTGCTTTGGATGATTTGACAGAGATAGCAATTAATAAGAAGCTGAACATAAGAGAACTTTGGTTGAAACAATCTTTATATTTCTACATACTTTGTCAAACAAAAGTTTAGTTTCTATTCGCACTATTTCATCAACTAAAAATACTAGTTCTATATATAAGGATTTTATAAATGCTTTGATTAGATCCCTTTTAGACTTTAGTTGGCTAAATCATATCCTTTGGCAAATTAAAAAGTCTTAGAATGCACGTTTCGTAATATAGAATATAATAGATGTATAGTATCTACCAAGTGTTAGTATAACCTGTCTTAAAACGAAAGTCTTTAAAGACACTATTTCAAGTAAGCTTATGCTTTAGGTTTTAGTATAGATATTAGTTCAAGGACAACAACATAAGTAGTTATATCACATAGAGATATTTTCAGATGAGAAATTTGTTACAAGAAGATAATTTAGAAAACATTAATCTTGAGGAAAGTTAGTTAGTTGTAGACATGCTTGAAATGACCATATTTATAATAAAAGTTAGTAGATTGATAGTAATACAAGTAAAAATAGCAGTAAGACTTCTTAATTAGCTCTAAGGTAGTAAACATCCTCTTTGTTGGTTCTAGACAAGCAGAAGGTCTTGAGGGTGGAGGGTGAGGGTGGGGGTTGGAGTGGGGTAAAATTGACTTTTTAAAACTTTTTAAAAAATATGATGAGATTTTTGAAGCGAAAGCCTTTACCTTGCCTTATTTGGTCATTTTGAACTTTTGCAATTGTTAAAGAAAAATGGTATGTGTTTGTGTTTGAGTTCATAAAAATTAATAGAAATAAAGTGAAAGGGATATAAAAATTGAGATTATATTTTTATAGTCGATTGGGAACTTCCACCTCACTTTTTTCGTTAACACTTGGAGGTTTCACTACGAATACAAGTCAAAGTATTGACTCATTATGTTTCAGTAGGTTGAGAAAGTATAGTAGCTATGACAGACCCCTCTTCAGTAGGTTGAGAAAGTAGCTATGACAGACCCCAACCGTTTTCGTTCACCAAGCTGCTGGATAGTGAGTGTCTTTTGAAAAGTACTGGATAGAGTTTTGGCAATTCTTGGAAGTTTAGAATTCGTGAATGGCTTTTTGAAATTACAATAGCATAACAACAATTTTCTCTTATGTTCTTTTTTTTACAAGCTTAAGGAATCAGTGTTTAAAAATTGGCCTAGTCAGTTGCCTAGGCTCCACTAGGCCAAGGTGATTTTATACCTAGGCGCATTTAGTCAGTTGACCGACTAACCGGCCGGTTAGGCACTCTAGGCGCCGACTTAGTCGAGTTGAGCGTCTAACTCGGCCGAGTTGGTGCTCAACTGTGGTGAGTGATTTTTTTTCCTACTCGACTACTCCTATTCTATATTTCTCCAACCATGTACTCAAGTAACCATATAATATATGATGTTGACTAGTTTGGGAGATTATAACAATGTAACAACTCTTAGCCCTGAGTGAAAAAAAGTAACAATATACTCGGATTACTAGGCCGCCTAGGTGTCTGACTAGCGTCTAGCGCCTTTTGCAGTACAATATTGCTTATTTATAGAGTAAGGTGAGCCAAAAGTCATACATCTTGAACTTTTCCTATTGGTGCCCCCTAAGGTTGTAGGTTTCCTAAACCTACATCCTCCTTATTTTATCACAACATGCTTATGACCTTTGGACTTCCAAAATGTCTTTAATCTAAAAGAAATGATTTTTATTTTTTCTTTTTACGTAAAAGTATGTTTAATTTGTAGCATAGTCTAAGTATATTTTGATGTCAGGACTCCTTTTGTAATGTGCCTAACAACCCTTTTTTCACAAAAAAAGGCAAACTTTTATTCCTCATAATGACACTTTACAGTTGTACAACTAAATCTATTGAAACCATACAAGCCAAAATAATTGTACACCTCATTGATCCATTGATTCAAAAATGATACTCGATATTATCAAATTATGGCAATATTGGAAAAATCCAAAATTGGTCATACATTATAATTTTTTATCCAATTAGCGTGTTTTTTTTTTGTTTTTTTGTTTTTTTTTTTTGTTTTTTGTTTTTTGTTTTTTTTTTTTTGTTGTTTCAGTTAGTTTGATCTTTTGATAATTTTATTCTTTCTGTCCCTACAAAAAAAAATAAACAAACAAAAAAAAAAAACCTCTCATAAATGACTTAATAATGAAAATAATACTTGAAAACAATAAATATTTAGAAGGAATTAATCAAATTACTGTTTAATATATCATTTATGAGCATAGAATACCAAATAGAGTTAATGTAAATTATATCATGAAAGATGAGGAAGAGTAGAAGGAAAAAAGAAAGGGGCCCACAAGTATTTAAGATAAATGAGATCGTGTAAAGTCTGCAAAAATCTAACGTAACTATAATATTTTGAAAAAGCATTTACGGAGAAAGTTGGCAAGATTGCATCAATTTACAAGCATTAATTGAATTTAATTAGTTTGCCTTCATTATCATGCCTTTTTAAAAATGAAATAAAAGATTAGTTACTGAAATTCAATTATTGTCTACCTTTAGATTCACTAACATAAGGAGTTCTAAAAAAAGGAAAGACAATTTGACACCTTCCTAAAAGTTTATGTTCACCCGTGATTAAAAATTTTAGTCATTCTATGTCAGAAATTTTTTTGACAATCATAACATTAGTGTTTTCTACCAATAGATTTTTGCTAACATTACCAATCCCTTTTTTAGATTACTTGTTTTTCTTTTCTTCTCTTTCTTTAGACTAGTACATATTTGACAATAGTAATAGATTTTAGTGAAAGTATTTTGCATGTTTGGTAGTATGGTGGAATGGAAATGATTATCAATAATGCTGTTTGATTATGTATGATCATATAATGGATTAAAGATTTTAAAAATACAAGAACACAAAATCAAGACAATTGATTCTAATATAAAGACATCCAAAATACCAATATGAACAAAAAAATAAAAATAAAAAACTCTAAAAGCACTAATCAAAGGGGATGAGAAAGAATAAGAGAATGAAAGGGGATGTTACTCTTATTTTATTTACGTATGGGTTTATTAATTAAGGGGATATTTAAAACCCATAGTAGTGTTCTAAAACCCTATCAACCAAACAATACCAATCACTTTGATACTCATTCCTTAGACCTAAACCTGTCAACCAAAGACACCCATAATTTTGTGATTTGTTTACGCTATTAAAAGTGGTCATATGTGGTTGAGGAATGAGGAATTTAAGGAAAAGGTAGTAGCCATGACATAAAAAAATTTTGTGCATGAAAATTATCAAGATTTTGATATTATATGGATCTATGGTAGGTAAAGAGGAATTATCTCGGGCAACCATGCCAATTGCAAGTTGGTTAGGTTATCATGGGATAATACGGAGCGGATCCGGAGTGAAGTAAATATGGAGCGAATAAGACCCGATACCCGATATAATTACGCACGCGACCGGACAGACCATGGAGGGGTCTGCCACCCCAGGGTCCTCGGCCACTGCGACCTCAGAGTACTCCTCGGCCACTACCACCGCATCCAACATCCAACTGTCACAAACATTTGAATTTTACAATATTTGTTACAATCTCACACTTCGTAATTTATAATATTATCAAATTATAGCAATATTGGAAAAATCCAAAATTGGTAATACATTATAATATTTATCCAATTAGCGTTATTTTTTTTTTTTTTAGTTTGATCTTTTGACAATTTTATTCTTTCTGTCCCTACAAAAAAAAAAAAAAACAAAACAAAACAAAAAAACAAAATAAAACAAAACAAAAACAAAAAAAACGAAAACAAAAACAAACAAAAAAAAAAAAAAGAACCTCTCATAAATGACATAATAATGAATATAATACGTGAAAAAAATAAATATTTAGAAGGAATTAATCAAATTATTGTTTATTAGTATATCGTTTATGAGCATTGAATACTAAAAGAGGTGCCTACAATTCAGCGAGGGGATTAGTCACTATGTCTGAAGGTGGAAACTCTAGGTATACCCAAAAAAAAATAGAGTTAATGTAAATTATATCATGAAAAATAAGGTGGGGTAGAAGGAAAAAAGAAAGGGACCCGCAAATATTTAAGGTAAATGAGACTACGTAAAGGCTACAAAAATTTTAACGTAACTATATTATTTTGGAAAAACATTTATGACGAAAGATGGCAAGATTGCATCAATTTAAAAGCACTAATTGGAGTTAATTAGTGTTTGAGATTTGTTTACGCTATTAGGCATCCTCAATAGAAATAGTTATCCATAGTTTTTTTTTTTTTTTTTTTTTTTTTCTTTTTTTTTTCATTTTTGAGGTGCCAATTGAGATAGAGAGGAGGGAGAGAAAGAAAAACAAATCTGATGCATTGCAGGAAAAAAAATAAGCAAAATAAAAAAGAAGCAAACGTATTGATGTGCCAGCCGGCACGTGTACTGCACGCTCCGGGTTGGGCAGTGTCTGTGAGCGAAACGCGCAAAAATCACCCCTTGAACATTTCAAATTTTCTCTCTCCTCCACATCACTAATGTTTACCTCAAAAATTGAGCAAAATTCACTAATGTAGATGTTCTTAAAAGTGGTATGAGGAATTAGGAATTTAAGGAAAAGGTAGCAGCAATGACATAAAACATTTTTATGTCTATACAATTGATGCCTATACCTCGTCATCAACGTAACGCGTAGAAGGAAAATAGAAAGGGGCCAACTAGTATTTAAGATAACTTCATGAGTTCGCGTAAAGACTGCAAAAGTCAATAAACGTAAATATAGGATTGCATTAATTTACAAGCATGGAAGTTAATTAGTTTTGTGATTTGTTTAATTTACGCTATTAAAAGTGGTCATAGGTGGCTATTTTATGGTACAATTATTAGTGGGGTCTACTTCCGATTTGGGTCGTATATACCTTTATTTTTTTTAAAAAAATATACGGCGTCGGTGATACGTATTAATTAACCAACGTCCTATCTTAATCATTTAAAAAAAATTAAATACGAGG